TCCTGCTGGATCAGGCCATTGTGACTGTAATGATAGATAGATGATAGATAGATAGATAGATAGATAGATAGATAGATAGATAGATAGATAGATAGATAGATAGAATAAAGCAGGGCACAAAGAAAGGTTTTTTTTAAGCTGCTTGTTCTGCCTGCATAGAAGTGCATTGTGATGCTTTAACTTTGTACACACATGTCCAGGAAAATACTCACAGAAAGAAAAGCAATTGGCAAGCACTTTCCTGGAACAGAAATGTGGGAGGGCACAGAAACAGGGCCATTGTCCAGTGGGAGCTTGCAGTACCTGCAGTAATTATTTTTTCTTAATTATGTGTTAAAATTTAAGCAAGACTTTTGGAGGAGTAAACAGTGATCTATCAGACAAGGGCTGGGCTAGCTGACCTATAAAGTTCCTTCCAATTGATTGTTTAAGGATATTCCTTATTCTACCCTAGTGGTCAGCATACTCTTAGAGAGTCCAACTGAAATGCTCAAAAGCATAGGAGAAATAGCAGAAGGGATTGCCTTTACATGGATACCATAAACAAACAAACAAACAAACAAACAAATAAATAATCTAAGAATCGTCTCATCCTCTACATGCTTTCTTTTGTCTGACCTTTGCAGGACAGGAAAATGTATAATAGAAACAGAAAATGATTAATAATTAATATTTTACTGATGACAGAAATAGCATCATAAAACTGATTTTAGAAGCATGTTTTATTAATGAGAATTAAAAACATCTCTGTCTTAGTGTAGCAGGCGGCCCAAATAGGGATGAGGTTAGAAAGATAGGGAAGAGGAAAAAGAGCACAACTTAGTTCAAGTTGCTTTTGAATATGTCTCTGTTTAGGTATCTGTGAAAAGTTTAAGGAGATGTGGTCTGGGGTTGATTCTAAGTGGTCTGGGTTCCCCCCTCCCCTCAGAATGACTGTATTATATTTTAGAATTTTTTTTTTTATCCACTACTTAATCGTTACTGATTCTGTGGTGACTGCCTGGAGGAGTCCCTGCAGTTTTCAAGGCAAGGTGTTTCAGAAGTGGTTTGCCATTGCCTCCTTCCTAGAGCAGAGCCCAGCTGGTGAGCACAGGAGGCGGGGTTTCTGTTGCTTCGCGCCTTTTTCGGGCGTGCGCGGCTTCCATGTTACAGGCAACTGCTCCCATCTCCCCTGCAAGCGCCGCCAGCATTTTCCTCCCACCAGGGTGGAAGTCCCCATTTCTCTACTCACATAAGTTTTCGAGCTGCTGGGTTGGCAGGAGCTGGGGAGGAAGCAGGAGCTCGCTCTGCTGCACGGAGCTGGGCTCGAACTGCCAGCATTTTCCTCCCACCAGGGTGGAAGTCCCCATTTCTCTACTCACATAAGTTTTCGAGCTGCTGGGTTGGCAGGAGCTGGGGAGGAAGCAGGAGCTCGCTCTGCTGCACGGAGCTGGGCTCGAACTGCTGAAGTGTTGACCATTTCTGGCCAGCAACTTTCAGCATCATTAAGCCGCTGTGCCACTGCATCCCCCTTTTAGAAAATAAAAATGGGCAATATGTGAAACCTAGTGTTTTGTTTGAAGTCTGCCTACTTGTTCAGGGCGTGAAGGAGGGTTACATTTGTTGTGTGGTAGGGAGCATTCTGAGATGTTCAGTTAGGCTGAGAAAGTAGCAAGGAGCATCCTAAATTTTTGCCTTTGGATAAGTGACCATTTTGTGAGTGGCCATACCTATCATGGTGGCCCTTTTATGACAGTGCCCTTAATGTGCTCTCAAAATTCTAAATGAGATGTTTCTATCATTTCACTGTCCTATAGATGCTCACTTTACAAGCAAGATGAATTCATTCCTCATATGACCTGCTTGTTCTGAGTCCATTGATATGGTAGATAAACAAGTTATGTGGGTCTTGTTTCGAGATTGTTGGAAGAGCTTTGATCAAGTCAACCATCTGAAGAGACACATTATTTACTTAACCTTTCCCTAGCTCCCTTAGCAATTTCTGTGTTACATTTTTCAGAAAGTTAGGTGCTTCAGACTTTTCCAGCAAAAACAACAAAGAGCCCCTTAGAATTAGTTTCATACCTTAGAAACTAATCAAGATATTATTACATAAGCTTCTGCAGATAATAGCCCACTTCATCAGGATATAATCCCGAAAAAGAAATATTCCATAGAGACAGCTGGTGTTTGGTGGGAGGGAAGCTGAGGTAGGGAGAAAAGGGTTAAAGAAGTTGAAAGCCAGTGAGAATTGCTCATAGTGACTTTTAACAAAGCAGGAGTTAGGTGTGACTCAGACATTCTTGCTTTGATGACCTGGTTAACATATGTAGTATAATTAGGAACCTTGGTCTTTGTTTAATCCATGAAAAATGGTGTCAAATCTTCTAATAAATCATAACTGGCTAATATCAGACTTCACATTTCCTTTTCTCTATAATTGCCACCTCAGCTCACCGACTGTATCATAAGTATAACATACCAAAGGCAATTTCCAAAAAATCCATGGGGGAGAGCAGATCAGATTCCCTGAATACTCTGTCTCTAACCTCAAGGTCACTCTCCTTGAGAAAAGAAATTACAAAGACCAATTTACTTCTGAAGCAATTGAGCTAGAATGTGCTTATTTTAATATCCCTTCTTCTGACCTTCCCTATCTCTGTTAGTACTGTTAGAATTCGTATACAAGGCTGTGTGCCTAAGCAATTTTATCTTTTTAAAGATATTTGTGCTAAAGTAAATTGTGCAATGTTGGCAATTGTTCTGAGCAAATATTCACCATTCTGAAGTAGATTTTTCTCCATTTCATTCAAGTATGGGATATAGCCTAGTTTTCATATACCACAATCTCTAGTAAAAAGATACTCACTTTGTGTTTATGAGGATATGCCTATCATTTGAATATATAATTAATGATATGTGGTAATACAATGGAAAAAAAACATAGCAACAATTGATCTTATTAATGATTTCAGTACACAAAGGCTCACCTGTGCACAAACACTCACATGCATTGCTATATCTATGCTTAAAGGACAACTGCATATTTTAGCTGCGGACCACAATGCTGTGCCAATTACAAAGCAGAGGTGAGGAGGTGTATGTGCCTGTTAATGTGGCTAAATGTCAGGAAGGTAATTACAGCAGGCGACATTTATGGGACTATGCTGGACATCATTATTCTTTTGTGATTACTGTATTTTCCAGCCTGTAGCTTAGCACGGAATAGATATTTTACAAACAGCAATCTTGACATGGAAAAC